TAAAAGAAGAACGCTATTTAAGAAAAGAAAAAAACGGTATTTGACAATGTTAAAAGTCGAAATTAACATTGACAAACAGTGTGTTTTTCTTTATTTTTTCTTTTCTTGAAAAATATTATATATATATATATATATATATATTGAATATATTGAAGAGTTTCGTCAATCATTTCGTTTGTTATTATTAATAATATTTCTCAATGTAGAGGGTTACTAAATAGGGTTGTTGTAAGGGCTTACAAGGAAGGGAAAGATGTGCCTATTATAGGAAAATATGTCGTATAGATAACGGTTGACCCCTCGAAGAGGTTAAGATTGTATTGATCCAGGAGGCATCATCTCGAGTCCGTTCCGTAATGTAACAGCTCTGGAGTAAGAAGCTCTCCGAGTAGAAATTCCTCCTCACCAAGAGAATATGAAGAGGAGGAGGAGGACAAGTCGACATGATGGTCTGGCGGGTCCTGGCTTTGAATGTATGAACTTGTGGAAATAAGGAATGGAGCTGGTCAAAACATTTGCTATAAAAAGTAGCGATAGAAAAGCGAGAGGCTTGCAGCTTTTCGTTTGTGGTAAAGGGACTGTAGGGGGGGGAAGCAGTTCATCACTCACAAGGCCGTGCGTGGCTGGAAAGTTAGGATTGGGCAGCTTCAGCCCAGATGTAGCAATGTTACTAACCCATTTTCTTTCTCCTATGTTATTATCTAAATCTTTTCATTATTATTCCAACTGCTTTCACTTAATTTAACCCATTAGCTGCCAAATTTTTTTAATGCGCATTTTGGCCCAGGCAAGTGTCTTAGGAGTTTATTTATTCCTTATGTTTAATTTCAGTAGTTACCATTTTCGTTTTATAGAAACTAGAACATCAAATATATATGTGTATAAAACATCAAAAATAATATTGATTATAAATAATAAAAAAATATTTTTCAAAATAGTCATTATTTTTCTACTCATGAAATGTAAAACTACGACAGAAAGTTTCTTCTTACGGCTAATAATAAAAACTTTAAAGGCTAAGTGTTGTAAAATATACCTCTGCAAATGCAATGTATGTAAGCAATTCAATGTAAATACAAGGAATAACATGTAGTGAGTTTAATTTTAACAGATTCCCAAATGAGGCTCCATGGCAGGTAATGGGTTAATAAGACACTTGTTCATTTAATTCAGTTACTTATTCGTGATTGGTTAGCTTTTTGTAATCGATTTCACATTTTCTATCTAAATTATTATTTAGGAAAAAAAACAATGGCTGTCTTTTCATTTTAGAATTAGAGCAGAAGCATTTTGGTCGGTGGGGGAGAGGAGGAAGTTACAGATTAATTTAATCTTGAAATGACAAAAAAAAAACCAAAAAAAAAACAGACAAAACTGCGAAGAAAAAGAGTATTTTAATAACACGAAACAAATTGATTTTCATTTTAATTCATTGCGAAATAGATTTAAAAAAATATTAAAAAATAAATCCCTAACACCACCCCTTTCCTTTTATTTTATTTTATTTTCTTGTTTCCACAGAGTCAAGATGTCTGCTGGTAAATGCTCTTAAGAATCTTTTTACCGCCTTTATTTACGAGTTCAGTCAGAATAATAAATACTGGTAAATTCTTATATTCTCTAAGAAGCCTTCATTAGTCAGAATGTCAGTGGAATTGGCAATTTACAAGATTTAACAACTACATTAACTATATTCGAAGAGAAATCAATAGAAATTTAGTTTCTAAATTGGAAAATTAAAAAAAAAAAGATAACGATGAAACTTGCACGAATTTCCCATTTTAATTTTGTGATGAATTCTTAAGTTATTCATTGAATAAGGCTATTGCGAATTCTCAGTCTCTCTCTGTTACATCGTTAAATATTTGCGCTTAACAACAACCAAATATTGCAAACTCAAACACAGTATTAATGCAGGTCATTATTTTAAAAAGTAAGATGGTAAAAATGAAAAAATTGAAACAAAAAAGTTTTTCCATTTCACTGAAACAGACGTTAAAGCGTTGTCGGTGGCGGCTTTATCTCGTATCGAAGAATTTAATTTCTTCTTTTCCGATCGCTTCCTTTATGACGATAGCGTTAATGGCTAAGTAGACCAATTCTTGCATGAGACAGCCGATGGCATTGACTGCATCGTAATGTTGGTAGAGGACGTGGTCGATTTAGTCGAGTCCCTCTCTCTTCTCATTTGACTTCGTCATTTTCTCTTCTGGTGGCTTCAAAGTTTTTGATTCCGATGCTGATGGAACGCAACCAATTGGTACGATCTTGTGCATGTGTTTCAAACGATTTAGGTAAGAATGGAAGACTCAGAGTTTCCACGTCAAGTCTTATTCACTGACCTCACTTCAGGGAAAAGACTACCGGAATGCCCTCTTCGAAGATACAGGAACCAACTCAAAATAATAATGATAACCACTGGACTTGAGACGTTAGATACCTGAGAGTGTTATCGCTTCCTTTATTTTCACACTATTTCTTTCTTTTTCTCACTGAAACCAAGTAGCGTCTCTGATATGTCTTTTCTGTCTTTCCTCGCGATCAAAACGGAATAGGTCATTGTTGACAGGGTATTGACAGGGCGTAACTCACATGCTATGGGACCATAACAAATATAATATGATTTTGATATTAATATGTATGTACAGTGAATTCGAACTCGAGTGGGTGCGCCATAGTTTCGGCAGTTGTGCAATGGTTAACAAGCTTCTCTCGTTAGATCAGTTACGACTGAATAGTAAGTTCGATCCTCACTGGGCACTTCCTTGTTTCGGCATTGTGCCATAAATTTCGTTACGTAAATCAATATAGGTATTTCAATTGGCCACTTCGACGTGATGTAATAGTTAGGAAGCTTGCCTTGCTAGATCAATTACAACTGAATAGTGAGATTGTACCCGACTGGGTAGTCCATACTTTCGGGCTTGTGCTACATCTAAGACACTCTCAGAAAATCACCATATTTTCGGCATTGTGTCACATTTAAGTTGCGCTTCGTAAATCATTAGAGGTATTTCAATTGGCCGCCTCGACGTGATGAAATGGTTAACAAGCTTTTCTCGATAAAACAATTACGACTGAATAGTGAGTTCGATCCTCACTGCTCCATACCTTCTGGTTTGTGTCACATCTATGCGCTGGATAAGATAAGTTTGTCTATATTCGTATTCATATATATATATATATATATATATATATATATATATATATATATATATATATATATAATGGTAATAAGAAGACGGAATTTTAATTATCCATTTCGATTATAATTTATTTCGTGAACACCTCGGTGTTCAACTCTTCAGACCGAAATCTCCTCCGTAAATGGAGAAAATACACCGGATGGACACATTAGACTGGTAGTGGGAAGGTGAAATAGAGAGAGAGAGAGAGAGAGAGAGAGAGAGAGAGAAAGAGAGAGAGAAGGGGTGGGTAAAGAATTAGTGGTTGGTAGTAGTTGGCTCACCTAGCAAAGAATTTAAACTTTAATTTTGAGATTTTTATATTGGGTTGTATTCGACATTGACCAATAAGCTTTGTTGTTTCTAGGGAAGAACAAACCAGGTCGATTCAAACTAATTTAATAAAAGAGATCTTAATTCAAGTAAATAAAGATCGTTATTAATATAGTAATTTTTGTCTTTTTAGGCTGAAGTCTAATAGTCAGTGGAGATACAAAGTTGAAGGGAACGCAAGATGGTGATATAGAGGCTGAGCAGTGGCTTAACATCGCCTGAAGAGACACATTTATGGTGTTGAAACATAATTGTAATTGTGTAGCGATTTTTAATTTGTTTTAATATTCTAAAATAAATAATATTGTGTGTGTGTGTGTGTGTGTGTGTGTGTGTGTGTGTGTGTGTGTGTGTGTGTGTTAAATAAAATAGAGAAGTAATTTCGATTATATTTTAATAAGTTTTCTTGTTGGTGTATCCGTATCTTCGTGTTGAAAGAGTTTGTTTTAGTTCTTCGCAAAGTTTTAAATGTTTGACTAGCTTCAGTAGTTATCAAGAAAGAAATCTGATGAAATCCAATGGCAATTTGACTTTTTAGCTTTGACGGACTGGATCTAAAAATATTGGTTGCCAGGAGACAAAAAGGTTCACCATTAGAAAAAATGCTAATAATTAATTTGCATAAAGAATAATTACAAGTTTTAAAATATACACATAGAACAAAGTGTACAATGTATTTTTAGTGGAATAAATCTGTAATAAATCTGTATGTACTCTACATATTACTGGCAGTAGATATCAATTGTTTTTACAGAATGTTATAATTGATTTTTTTAATTTTAAGTAATTTAATTTTTAAATGGTTTACTTCACAATTTACACATTAACAGATCGTTCCAAAGCACAATAAAGCAATGCATGCAATCTACTATATTAAGAGCAACCATTTGTGTTTACTAGATGATTGTTTTGAATCTGCCAATAACTTCTGCATCCAATTCATCTAACAATTCCTTCATCTATGAAAAGATGGTCCAGCATTCATTGCCATATAAGAGGACTGGTATTATATAAAGAGTTTAGTACTTTTTTCTTCGTTTCTAACGAAATTTTCCTGTTTCTTAATACTTTGCTTAGCTTTTGGAAGTCACCTTTCGCTATGCCAATACGCCTTCAGTTTTCTGTGTCAAACTTTCAGTCCTCTATTAATACGCTTTTCAGATAACTAAAATGTTGCTCCTGTTTCATTTTGATATTTCCAATTTGTAATTTGCATGCTTGGCTGTTTCTTTTACTAACAATCACGCATTCTTGCAATTGATATCCTTTCTTTTCACTTTCCTTCACTACTTTTTTAGTGTTTGCTATCAACACTACTACCAAATGTAAATACAAAATGTTATAATTGAATTTTTAGTTATTTATTTTTTTAATTCTAATTAGTTGATTTTTTTAAAAAGTAGTTTATTGCACAATTAACACATTAACAGATAGTTCCAAAACACAAAAGATCAATATATTCCAGGCTTACAGCAACATAATATTAAAGCACCGATTCCCGTACGATCGCCGAAGTTAAGCAAAGTTGAACCGGGTCAGTATCTAAATTGATGACCGCTTGGGAATACAAGGTGCTGTAAGCTTGGATTTGTGGTTGCTGTAAATTTAGATGATAAAAATATAGTTTTAAGGTGTGCTACATTTATGGGCTAAAGTGCTCGATATCATGGACAGAGCGTGTGTAAATATAAAAGTGGCCATGATTTATATATATATAACTGTTAGCGCCTACCCAATAACCGTTAGGATAATGCAATAACTCATAATGCAGCATATAAATAGTCAAGTCATTGCACAGCACACATGGCCTGAAGATTCAAACACGAAACAGACTGGTGCTGTTCGGTGTTGACCTAAATGTCCACTTATATTTTCATATTCACATACACTTTATCTCTGATATTGATCTTTTACCCATAATTATAGCATGACTTAAAACTATATTTTTTATTATATATATATATATATATATATATATATATATATATATATATATATATATATATATATATATATATATATATATATATATATATATATATATATTATATATTTAAACAGCAATCCTTCCTTTATGTATTTTCATTAAAAACGACAGACAAGGTACTACGAGCGAAAAAAAAAAAAAAAAAAAAAAAAAAGATTAAAAAATAATGGAAGCTTTAATAAAAAAAAAAAAAAAGCCAACTCTTAACAATATTAACTACGAACAAAGCCACAATGTGCTAACCGTATTCGGAAATTAAAAAACATCCCTACCACACACTAAGACATACATTAAGCTGCAATATGGAATCATCCTTGATAATGGCTAAAGTTATAGCCGAAAGCGCTCGGAAATATAAAACATTCGGACAGTTCTTTACACATCCTTTCTCCAGAAAAAAAGCTCTTGTTCGAACATAAGAAAAATTAAATAAAAAGCTTAACCGTAGTACTTTGTCTGTCATTTTTAATGAAACATATATATATATATATATATATATATATATATTGTAAAATAGAAGAATGAATCAATAAAGTTAATGTAATTAATGGCGAATTCACTTCGCTAACAGATTAAGAAGGCATTAACTTACTGACCATTCGCTGAATGACACGATCCTTGTTTTTATTAATTGTTCAATAGATTAAATGTTTGGGCCATAATGTTCGCAAGTACTTTCGGTAGAAACATTTACCATCTTCAGGTAAAGACGTTATTTTTTTTTCTCAATTTCGGGTAATTTCGTTCAGCGAATGGTCAGTAGGTATGCCTTCTTAATCTGTTACCGAAGTAAATTCCCCATTAATTACATTAACTTTATTGATTTATTCTTTGAATGACTATTTTACAATATTAATTAAGTTCCATTATTTATTAATTTGAATATATATATATATATATATATATATATATATATATATATATATATATATATATATATATAATGAGAACGAATAGAGTACACTGCCAATGTTTGTAACATTCAAATTTAATTTAAAAGAGGGCTCAATACATAGTAGAACGATATTAACTATCTATTTGTATGATAAATTCTAAATTTTATTTAGTTTTGTATTGATCTCCTGGTAGTATTAATAACATCTTATACGTATGTATTGGTATTTAGGTAGTATTGTTGATATTTTACATTGATTGGTTGGTATTATTAACATCTTATATGAATGATATTTATTTAATGGTTGCATATTATTTAATGGTTGCATATTATTTACCAAATAATTCTGTATATTTAGATTATTTACTAGTTTCTTAAAGAGGCCTTTTATTTATCAACTACAAAAAAAATTATGTAGGAAATCCACAAATCTTATAACTAGTTTGTCATTCGGTTAAATTACCCTCTACCACCCCTACCACTTTTATTTCTAATGAAAGTTGACTGTCTAGCATGTGTTATTGTAACCATGTGTATCAGTCTTTAAGTTAATGTCTGGCTGCTGTTAGATGTCAAATATTGCCTATGACGCATTAATTGTTCACTCGCCAGTAATTTATAATCGCCTGAGGAGCCGCATCGTTTTGCGTTGAAATATGACTGCAATTGTGTTGCGACTTTTACATGTTTTTGTTGTAATATCCTTATATATATATATTCATATATATATATATATATATATATATATATATATATATAGATAGATAGATAGATAGATAGATAGATATTAGCGGGAAGAAACATAATTAACGATAAGTGTCTGAATGCTTAAATTTTACTTTTTGTATCGTTATAGAAATTAGTTTTTGTATTTAATTGAAACAATTCTTTTTCCTAACGTATACCTCGCCCTTCCTCTTTTTCAATGTCACTAGACAGTGCCTTTAATGTAAGTGCATTTCTTAATTGTCATACCGGTTGCAATCTTCAGGTGACGTGATAGTTTTGTGATTGCCACATCGCCTGGGTAGCTGTAGTTGATACGTCATACAATTCAGTGATCCATATTTTATTTATAGATATGACGTTATGATTTTCGGTAAGAAACCAAATTTGAAAGACGTGACAAAATATCGACAATTTTAGCAAAAAAAAAAAAAAAAAAAATGATAGAAATATTACGTCAAATTTGTTCCATCTTACCGTAAAAAAAATATAAATTATATTAAAAATAATTCAGAATAAAAAAAATAATGTAAACTTGGACGTTTAGAAAAATCGACAGGAAGTCGCGTCGTGGTATGTGGTTAACAAGCATATTAAAATCGTTACTACTGTAGTGAGTTGGTTCCTCACAGAGTGCCCTGCAATTAAACCTTGTTTCGGCTCTAGTCTATATTTATATTCTCTTTTTCCTTTCTTTAATCAGTTAATTCGGCAAACAGTAAAATATGTCGTCATGGCTCTCCACAGCTTCCTATCCCTTGTATCTCTTAGTAACATTTGTCGTTTTATCATTCCTGTATAATTAGATATCTTTTCTACTAGATTAAAAAAATATAAGAAAAATATCCTTGTAAAATCTGGAACCCATTGCTAATGTTTCCAACAACCTGCTGCTGTCTGTTGACAGCATCATTTATCTTTTGATATATATATATATATATATATATATATATATATATATATATATATATATTCAAAATCTCGCATCTTTTGATTCTTCGAATAGCCTAAAATCTTCTGGTCTTCCGTGCAACATCGATACATTTGCGGGCATAGAGTAAACGCTTATTTTTGAATTGAATAAAACCAGTCACCTCCGACACTTAAACAAACAACTCATATATCATTAACAACCTACCAAGCCACACCTTAAACTAACCCCTTCCAAAAAAGACCCATTTGTTAGCTTTCTTGCGCATACACAAGCCGTGGGCGTTGGAAGTCATGAAAAAGAAATTGATTCAAAAAGAGAAAAAATCACAAATCAATTTGTGAGAATGTCTCGTGCGTAAAAAGCATTTTCTGTCCTTGGGAATTCATAACGAATATCCACGCAGACGTAATTGTTTATAGAAACATAAAACAAACACGTAGCTAAGCATGGGATCGCCTGCTCAAACACACATCTAAATACAATTAATATTTATGTATAAGGACAATACACGAGGATTGATTGATAAGTTCTACCTCGTCGCTAATAGTGGAGGTAGAAACACCTTTGAATATAGATCCGGTAATATATAAAATCGATTATTTACACTATTTATATTCGGACTATTATCCTCGTTGCAATCCAATCAGCAGCCAGGTTAGGTTTAAAGCTCCAAGTTCACTACAGCAAATTGGCCTTCGGGACAATGGCCTAATGGACAAAAGCATTGGTTTTAGGGATGGAGATAAACTGTGAGTTACCCAGATCGATATACACCTGAGTAAGGCCGAAATTTTGTGATAAAACAACAAAGATGAAGAGAATAGTCCGAATATAAATAGTGAAAATAATGATAACTCCTTATCCCAGAAATCCAAACAGAAGACAATCAGGTGATAAAAACAACAAAGATGAGGAGAATAGTCCGAATATAAAAAGTGTAAATAATTATAAATCCTCATCTCAGCAATTCAGGCAGAAAATATAAAGTCCAGTTCGAAGCTACAGTAATAAGACAAAACAACAGCAATAAGGCAAAACAACAACAATAAGGCAAAGTGACAGTAATAAGACAAAACAATTCAGGCAAAAAACATAAAAAAGTCCAGTTCAAAACAACAGTAATAAGGCAAAACAACAACAATAAGGCAAAACAAATAAGACAAAACAACAGCAATAAGGCAAAACAACAACAATAAAAGCAAAGTGACAGTAATAAGACAAAACAACAGCAATAAGGCAAAACAACAACAATAAGGCAAAGTGACAGTAATAAGACAAAACAACAGCAATAAGGCAAAAACAACAACAATAAGGCAAAGTGACAGTAATAAGACAAAACAACAAATAAGGCAAAACAACAACAATAAGGCAAAGTGACAGTAATAAGACAAAACAACAGCAATAAGGCAAAACAACAACAATAAGGCAAAGTGACAGTAATAAGACAAAACAACAGCAATAAGGCAAAACAACAACAATAAGGCAAAGTGACAGTAATAAGACAAAACAACAGCAATAAGGCAAAACAACAACAATAAGGCAAAGTGACAGTAATAAGACAAAACAACATAAACGTTATAAAAGTACGCGGCACACAGTAGAAGATCGACTCTGTACGATTTGTTAACTTTAATGTTTAACACGCCATTATTAAAAGCGGCAAAAAATCACTTGTAACATATTTGTCGCCATCTTTTCAAATAGTTTCCAAATAATTTTCTGGTACTGTTTGCGTTTGATTTTCAGGAACTAAAATTATTTGATTATTTTCTCGTGTCTTAATTAAATTTTATATTCCGACGAGTTTTACACCAACTTCAAACTGGTTTTGTATTAACCCCATGTACATGTTGACTTTTTAGAAGTCACGATTTGATATATTTCTCCTGGTACCAAGCATTTTTTTTATTACTTTAGGGTTTTTTGGGGGGATATTTTTGCAGCAAGGTTCGCCTTGTACAAAACCCGGGGGTCACTCAAAGTAGAGGGTTACGTTAAGGGGTAGTTTATACGGATAGGATAACGGTTGACCCTAGACG